AATCATGTTAATCTTGCTTGAAAGTCACCAAGGTTAGAATGAGTAAATCTGATTTGAATAGAGTTATTCCTGATTAGATTATCTTTAAAAACAATTTACATATATTGGAATGTATTAGGGCTGTAGTGATACAGTAATCTTACGATACGATACATGATATTCTGTCCACGATACGATATATATTGCGATATTCATCAAACGATACAATTCAATACACTTTTGCGATTTTCTGAAAGATTTTAGAGGGACCGAGTGATTTTGGTGACATTTTGTGACTGCTATAGAGTTGGATTGAATTAATTTAACTGAAAACTGATTAAAAGCACCAACTACACAATACCTGGCTCTGGTTGGACATGGACACAGACTTAAAGTTGACAGCTGGACAAAAAGAATCAAAGAAGTGGTGAGAAAACATGTTTCTTTTTATTGAAACAGTACAAACTGTAGCTTACATGGATTTATAAAGTAAATAAAGTGCACCAAGCACCCTGCTCTGAATAGTTTGATACCTTTTTAACCTCGACACTAATCACTCTCCCAGTGAAGCAAGCAGTGAGTGAGCAAGATGACAGTTGGATGTTACGATACTTGCGGATGAATATTGATTTTTTTCTAGGAAAGAAAATATCGATATATATCGTGATATCGATATTATCCTACAGCCCTAGAATGTATATACAAATAATAAAATTATACTCATTTTATTTTTTAGCATTTAGTTCACCATTGATGTGGTCAAGCTTTAAAAGTGTTGTTGTTCAACAAGTCAACAATGAACTGAAAAATGTTATGTTAAATATGCAGATTATTTAGAAGATGTCTTGGATCTTCTGAAGCTTTAACACATAATGATGGTTTCAATATATTTTGTACGTTTCAACCACAGTAAATGGCTGAAATGTCTACTGTTATGTTATAATGTTTAATACATTATAAACCATAATAATTAGTTCCCCTCCCCCCCCCCATCATATTTGAAACCAAATGTTCTACACTGACCAAAGACTTTTGTCAACAGTTTGGGATTTGCGAAACCTTTACTCTACTTTTAGAACACAAAAAGGGAAATTAAATGCCTTTTTGATCTTAAGAAGGCTAATTTCCAAAATAAGAGTTAGATAATTAGATTTTGTGGGTTGAAAGCTGGAAAGTATGAAACCAGTCTCTTAAAATGTGGAATATGATTAATAAACGTTTCACAAAAACATAAGGTTTCGTTTTCAAGTAATTATAATCAGCTAAGTCCGTTTGGAAAAAGATTACAATTTCATACTATTTCAGATGTTTAAAACGAATAAATGCGGTTCAGATCCCTTAAAAGTGGTGAAATGACTCTTTATTGAAAGCTCCAAACTGGATACCAACTTCAGCCTCGCTCACATGTGCCGTTTCTAACTCAAGCTAGGATCGCGCTAATGATTACATTGCAACACCGCTAGCTGTGGGCTGTTTCAATCCGTTAGGCTAAAAACAACTGCGATCACAAGTCCTAGAAATAACAAGCATATTTACAAGCTCTTATACCATTTTAGTCCTTAATAACTTCTACTAACATGGCCTAACATTAGCTGCCTGGAAGAGTCCGTCCAGTACGGCTGTTAGCTTAGTTCACTTAAGGCATGAATAAACCAGCACCCAGGATAATGAAAGAAGCTAAAACGCTTAAATGTTAAACATTGGTGTGGTTTATAACCCGACCACCTCTCACCTTCTGTCACCTCCAGCACTTTGATCTGCTCCTCAGCGGCGGCGCGCACTTCTTGCACCGGAGACAGGATGGCCGTGAGCGTCTCAATCAGAGCCTCCTTCAATCCCTGCTGGACGGGTCCGACAGCCGGGACGGCCCGACCGTCACCCGCTGCACTCATGCCTGCTGTGTCTAGGCTCGCAGCTCGCTGTGGAGAGTTCAGCTACCCGTGTAGGAGCGGAGCCAGAGAGCCACGGCCACCGAGCGCGCCAATGCATGGAAAAGTAGAGGCGGGGCTATGCTGGAGGAAACATTATTCAGTCGTTCCGTTTTTTTGGTTGTGCTTTTGAGCTACAGCGCCCTCTAGCGGAGCGGTTGACAAAGTGCTTTAGAAAAGCAACACTTAGATTTTTAGTTAAAATATCTGGAGAGTCTAAGTCACACTCAAAATAGTAGTCCACATATAAACCTTTAGTAAAAACTTTAAAACGTGTACCTTTTTAATTGTGGTTTATATATAACTGTTTGTCTTTTGGCCAAGTCTCTCTTGAAAAAGAGATTTTATCTCAAGGAATTCCTAGTGAAATAACGGTTAAATAAAAATATATATAAACTGGTAGAGTGTATTTGTATTTGATATTTAAAGAAAAAAAACCCCGCAAACGTTGACTTTTTTCTACTTATTGAACTAAAATTGAAGTCTCAAAACAAATAAACTGCAAATTTTTCCAACTGATTTCATAAATGTGAATATAGAAATTGATCAAAAGTGCTTTAGTTATAAATCACTGCTTAGAACAGGGGAAAGACGAACGTTGCTCTTTTAATACAGTAGGTGGTGCTATTGTGCAGAATCACCAGGTATCTGCTCAATGCATTTTATGCTGCCAGAAAAGACCTGATTTGATGGTTTTTTTAAAGCAGCTAAACTCATATTTTCAGACCCTTTGATGGTTTCCTTTTATAAAAGAGCAGGAGTAAACTGAGGACTGAATTTTACAGAAATGATCTTCATCAGTTCCCAGACTTATGGATGTGCCAATGAAAGGAGTTACTGAAAGATTAACTACAGCACAAAAGCCTGCTTTTTTTTAAAGAGGCCTTTTGCATCCATGATCTTCAGTAAATGTGCTGCAATCTAATGTAGCATCCATATAATCAGAACTTGCACTAAAAGGGTGTAAAATAAGTGAAAGTTAAGTATTAATATCAATGAGAACTTTACAAATCTGTCTCATTTGTGTTAAACATGAAGTAAAACAATAATGGACCTAAAATAAGCATTAACAAGCTTCATGTGAAATGAAATGAGAAATAAATCAGTTTAGGCTTTTTGCTGGTGAGCCAAAATTAAACTAATTTATGACTGCAGCCTGTGGGACATTATGCATGTTGAGCTGCAAACATATTCAGGGTTCCTTCACGTCACAAGCCTTTCTATATTCAGCTTTCTAAAGTTCTCTGTTTTTTTTATTAATTTACTGTGAATTTGTGGATGGCATTTCTAAAGGCAGTAGAATTTACAGAAGGAAACTAAACAGAAGAAACAGGAAGGAAGGTTTCAAACAAGGACAGGATGCCACAGGGAAGGAAAAATGAAAGCAGAGTATGGAGGGAGGAAGATAATGAAGGAACAGAAGTAGAAAATATGGACCGAAAGAACAAAGGGAAGACACAAGTGAGAAAAAAATGACAAAGGAAGGACAAGAAAGTATAAAAGGTAAGGACAGAAAAAAAGAAGGAAGGCTACAAGGAAGAAAGGTAAAAACACGAAGGGAAGACGATACCTTCAGACAAAGGGCCAGGGACTAAAATTTGAAAATACAAATATTTGACCATCCTCTTTTTCTTTTTCCAAACCTGGAAAATATTGAAATCAAATTTCAAACTTTTTCAAACGTAAATGGTGGATTGAGTCTCAAAAGTTAGCCAGATGATTTGGCAAGGTGTTGGTTTGAAACAAGTCAAATAATAATTAATATTATAGCACTTTAACGTTTGGCATCTGAAGTTTGAGCTCTTCTACTGCCGTCTTTACCTGATGAAAGACAATAGGGGTTATTGATTCAAACAAATTCTGATCAAAGTGCAACAAAAGGCAGCATCAGTTCAGCGTTTTCTCCTCTCCACAGTAATTGTTTATGATCCTCATTTCAGCAAAATGTGGTCGATTGAGTTGCAAGTTAAAATCTGACTTCTGGTTTAGTTCCTAGTCATGCAGTTAAAACTACAGCAATATAAAAAAATGAATAAAAATCTCAATTTGATTCAGCTTTACAAGATTATTTTTGTATCTAGGCCAATTAATTTACTTTTTACTTAGTATCTAAATAGATTTTTTAAAGGGGTATTCATGATTTTATGTGTGATCTGACTTAGTGCTTAGAGTAATGATTGTGTTTATTTTTAGACTTGTGCTTCCCTATCCCGTCTATGAATTGCATTTTTGCTGCTCCTTGGCAGAGGAGATATTGTCTCTTCCAGAGTTTTCCCTTTATAAACAATTTCTTTAACAGAACCTACAAACAGAGAATATGAATGGATGAAAAGAAAGATTAGATAATAGATCGCTGGATGGGTGGTTGATAAAGGGACAAACAGCAAGCTAGCTAGATGAACGAATGATTTTCTTAATTTTAAAACGTAAAAACAGAAAATAGGATCCTTTAAAAAAAATCCCTGAACTTGATATTAATCAAAAATAAGGGGTCTTTTTTTTTAAGAGTCGTGTTACATTTGACGATCTAAACAAGTGTCATTTAGCTCTGAGGATCGTGAATTGTGAAATGAATTGTGTCATTTAGCTCTGAGGTTGCAGACCTCTGGACCAAGTGAACGATGCACAAAATTTCTAAACAGACAAACAAGCGAGACCTTAATCATGTTCTTCTTACATATTTACCCATGTGAGGAAGCAAAACCCTAAATCCGACCCAAACGGGTCCAGACTGAGGAGGAACTCTGCAGTTAGAACACACCATGACCTCCATGAAATTGGGTTTTACTAAAACTGCTTTAGCCTTTGTGTGAATGTAATGTGGACTGAACCAAACACTAAAATAACTGTTTTTGAGGCAAAGAACAGTTTTTTTTTTTATGTAAAAAAACAAAAAAAAAAGGAAAAAACTTTTCCCACTTGATATGTCCCTCTCCCTCAAAAGAGTTAAAAACTAAGACAAACAAAAAATGAATACCCACCTGGGCACCAGCTCACAAGGTGTACCGCAAATATATATAAAATATAGAATCTGAAATATATTTTATATATATATTAAATTGTGTTAGGAGTCAGTATTGTCACTACACAGCATTAAGGTGGTGTGTCTGATTTTTCTTTTTTTTTTTCCAACTTTTTAAAATTCCTATTATATAAACCAGAGAGGAGTCAAAGCAGAACAAAAATAATCAATGAACAAACAAAATGTGGAAAAACAATGTAAATAACCAACAGACGAAAGGCCTCCTCCCCGACCGAACGCTCCTCCCCATTCGCGTCTCGCTCAGCGGCGGCAGCGGGACGGCGGGTCGGGTGAGCTGGTCCGGACGCGGCGGCACCGGCCCGTCCAGATGTACAGCGCAGTGAAACATAACTTACATGTTTAGCTCATTTTTCACACGTACAGTCGTGATCAAGGCACAGGGATCTTCTACAAGTTATTTTCTTTTCTTCAATAAAGTTGTACAAAATAATACATTTTACAGTCTGTACAAGAATAATAGTCCAGCAGTAAATAAAAAGACAGACGCACTTAAAGCCGGGTGGGGAGGAGGAGAGGGAGGAGGTGACAGAACAAGACGAAGGGAGAGGAAGGAGGGTTGAGGATCATCTGTGTGTGTGTGTGTGTGTGTGTGTGTGTGTGTGTGTGTGTGTGTGTGTGTGTGTGTGTGCTCAGTTATAAAACGTTGCATCCAGTCTCTGCAAATCTTTAACGTCATGATTTTCTGTTGCCGTTTATCCTCAATAAGTCAAACCTGTTCTTTATTTTCCACGTTAAATAGTTGTCAAATAGCAGCAGGGGAAAATGGGGACAATGATGTAGAGTAACATGTTGGTGAATGACTGTGTGTGTTTGGGATGGAGGGGTTAAATGGTGCACAAAGGCAGATCTCACACACTGTGTACACCGACAAACAACATAGGGTAAAAACTAACAAAAACTTAAAACTTGAATTGTGTTATTACAGGAATATATAATATTTATATTTATATGTATTTATATATATATATATACATATTTATATACACACATATATAAATATCTATATATATAGCTTGGATTTTTTATTTTTTTTTTGCACTGCATTAAGTTCATTGGTATGCATGATTCTTATGCATCATATGATATTTTTTTGTTTGCTTGTGTTTCCTCGACTAGTTTCTTGAAGAGCAGTCCATGAGAGCAGCGTGGCTTCATCTCAGAGTCACGCTCACGTCCGCAGGCAGCCATTAATCAATTAGTCTGTCCATGCCGGGCACAGGAGAAAATAAAACAAAACAAAACAAAACAAGAAAAACAGCTGACAGCCACTCCTCTGTTTCAGCTTGCCACCATCTGAGTCCATCTGTTCTCTTCAGCACGCGGTGAATAAACTCCTGCATGTGAGCAGATCCCCCCCCTCTGCTAACTATTAGAGCAAGAGGCTGGAGTGGGTCATGATTATGCAATATTCAAGGGTCTGAACGTCTCATTCTGTAGTGCATGTGTACCTGTGAGCGGGTGGTCGTATAAATGAGAGGCTGACAGCCGATGGTAAAAAGTCTTCTCACTTTTCCGTAGTTATGAAGCTGGATTACCAGGAGGATGGGGTGGAGGAGAGGAGAGGTCAGGCTTATCGGTCATTTAGGTGAATTTGGTAACAGTGAAGAGGTGATTGGCTAACTGGTCGTAGTGAGGCGGGTGGTCGTTGGGCAAGTAGGGCGGGCCTGGCGAAGCTGCGCATCACAAGAGCTCGTACTGCCGTAGGTGCATCCTCTGTATGATGTCCCGACAGTCACTGAAGACACGCCGGATGTTTTCCGTGTCGACGGCGCAGGTGAAGTGCGGGTAACAGTAATGCCGTCCGTCCCCACTGGCTGTGCTGATCCTCTGAAGACATACAGGAAAGACAACAGGTTAGTAGTGGTGAATCTTGAGAGCCCACACGCAGAAATGCAACGGGCTTTCCGATAAAACAATCTTCTGTTTGCAAAAGCAACACCTGGCGATGCAGAAGCTGAACATTTCAACTATTTCATTTACAACTTTGCTGTATTTTTCTCATGTTTTACTGTGTAAAGTTGAGCTGATTTGCAAGCTTAAGAAAATGCACCGCACTAAAATCTAAAATCATTAAAAGTAGGTCACATGTTTTCAGAAAAAGTTTTACATTAATTTTACAGTACTAAGATTTTAATTGCCAAATATCTGTTGGATGCAGTTACGACCAACATAACTGTTTATTTGCTTTGGTACACATTCATCTTTCAATCCTACTTAACTGAAACATTCAAACAGTTATTAAATACATGCTTATTTAGAATAAGATTTGACATTTTAAACGGTAAAATAAAATGTTTCTGTTTTATCGTCTTGTTTGCGAGAGATGGTGGGACTGAACGAGAGATGGACTGATGCATTTGGGCTTCATCCGCTGTAATCAGTGAAAGGTGATAAAATGGGATTCTCTATGGAAAGTAACCTGGAGCACATGCAGTAGCTTTATCTATGAGAACAAAAATACAACAATATAATTACTTTACTTGACAATCATAAGTTTTTGTAAATAAATGAGAAATTGGTTGTTCAAAGCGCTAAAAAACCAAAAAAAAAAACAAAAAAAAACCCATCACCAAGAAAACGACCTTTGCACGAACCAAAAACTCATCCCGTATGAAGTACTTTGCTCTGGTCACCCTGGGATCCTCTCCTGGTTCTGGTATTGCTGTTGAAAAGGAAGAAATACAGTCAACCTTTAACATATTTAGCGCACACACCTTCATCTGATTAAAAGCATCCGTTTTGTTTCAAAGAAGATATTTTAACACAAAAATTTAAAGCAAATCTCAACACTTAGTGGGCATCATCATCACTGGAGCAGAGCGTGACACGTACAGATGAACATAAATGCAGGTCAGATGTCTGACTAAAGGTTTGGTAACTCACCATCATCAGGCGTAGTGTAGCGTGCAAATTCTCCAAAATACTCCTCGATTTTAGATTTTCCCGCCAAAACCTTCTCAGCTAGAAGATCCTGTTTGTTCAGGAAGAGGATTACCGAAATCGTCCGTAGCCACCTGTGGAGAAAAATTATGAGATCGGGTGTTAGATTAGATGAAAAATGCATTCATAAAAAAATAATGAAGTCATAAGTAATAGTGTCTACAATAACTGTGTAGAGCAACACATTTAAAGAGAGAATATGCTTGTTTTACATTTACTATTTACTGAATCTAGCAACAAAATAAAAAATAAAAAAACCGCTGGACCTGTTGTTCCAAATGTTCTTGAACAGATTGAGCGCTTCCTGCAGTCTGTTGGTATGATTGTCTTCTCTGATCACCATGTTGTAGCTGCTACTTGCTACCACAAAGATGATGGCTGTCACATCTGGACAAGAGTTAAAAAACAGACATTAAGGGAAAAACAAATCATGTTTCTGTTGTCAACCATAATTTCCAAAAACACATTTGTAGCTCAAGTTCAGATATTAGTGTCTGTATGTAATAAAACCATGTCAAACGAAATAGAAAATTTTCTATGAATAATAATCTTCATTTTTGTCAAAGCAGTAAAGTTGACATCTAACCATTAAAACACTGGATCCATTTTCGGCGTTCATCCCTCTGACCTCCGACGTCAAACATACTGCGACACACAGGAAGTTAAAATTTCATTTGAACCAGGTGATAATAAAAGCGTGACAGTTGAATAATGAAGCATTTGTACCATAAATATTACTCAAGTAATTTTTATTGTGACTATAACCTTGATCACCTAATATTTGTGGCAAGCTTAGTTTGAAACTTACTGGAAATTAACTTTGTCGATTTGAAACTTGGTTTCAAAGATCCCAGACGTCAGAACTCTGCATCTCAAGAGGTCCTGAAAGAGGAGGAAAAGCAAGCAGCAAATATAGGAGACTTTTATTAAACAGTCTTTGTTTTGCGTGAACTGAACTGGTGGAAAAAAAAAAAAAGTTTCCAACAATATCTTTTCCCCTTTGAACAAAAACAAGACCTAAGGTTTTGCAGCTTTACTCAACTGCAGGAAAAAAGGCACGAATGGACAGTTTCTCCTTTTTTTAATGTTATTTTTTATTGCTATGACTATTACCTGTCTGCAAAAAGTATAACAATAATAAATAAAAAGCAGTAAATAAAAGGCTTCCTCTAAAGTTTTTTTCAGCTTTATTTATTTATTTATTTATTTATTTGCACATTTTTGTGTCAAAAGGCCCAATTCTGTTAATTATGATTGATTATTAAAAGCAATAAAAAGGGTAAAAAAATCCAATTGGTGAATATTTTTTTTACAAATTAGGATGTCTGATTTCAGAGCAATGACCTCGTTTCAGATCTGCTCTTAAATTTGTCTAAGTTGTGGATGTTGCTGCGTTTTGACATATTTTTTGCCCACTTCTTGTGGTCAGAAAGGTTTTCTAATTGATTGCTTGATTTCACAGATATGGCAAACAACAGATCTGGACTAAAAACTGACATATAAATGTGGTTGATTGATAAATGTATTATTTAATAATGGGAGTGAATACCTTTTCAACACTCGACCAGGTTGTTTCAGGCTTTCCTCCACTTATTAAATGGGAATAGTTTTTTTTTGGAGGTTGAAATGGTCTGATAAAGATTTATTCAATAATCTGAAACATTTAAGTGTGACAAAATAAAAAACAAAGAATAAATCTGTACTTGTTCACCACTAAGCAATAAGCAAGTGACAGTAAGGGGAAGTGAAGTTATTAGTAATGAAAACGAATGAATAAAGTAGCACACAACAGTGAGCAAGTGGAGCTAGTGTGCTCAGAACCCGTGCACACAAAATAAAGCAACTAATTAAATAACTTTTTTCCTCACTGAGTTCTGTAAACAAGTTGCATGATTGATGTTTGTGGAAAATCTGGTAGATGTTACCTGATCCGTGGGGGTGTAGTCGTTCTGCCTCACCACATCAATCCTGTCTAAGAAGCTGCAAACAGAACAAATAAAAACAATCAGAACTGAACTTTTACACAAACCCATTGACACACAAAGGCAGCTGTGCATGTTTCTATGATTACAATTCCCCACATGTCCTGCTAATGCACGACCAACATGTACAAAGTCTGTGTACAGTCAATAGGGAAAGCATGAGAAGGATTGGAGCGGCTGTGACTGAACGGCCACAAGGGGGCGCTGTGTTTGAAGCTGCTGTGAGATCAGAGGCAGCCAGTCTGAGTCACCAGCAGCCGTTGGCTCTGTCAGACCAGAGGAGCCTCGTCAATGGAGCTGCTGTAGTAGTACAGGAGTACAGGAGGAGGAGTGTGGATCTGTGTACGCGCATGTGTGTGTGTGTGTGTGGAATCGGCTATGTGTATGTGCGTGGGTGGGTATGCAGGCCCACAGCACATTCAGATTTGCAGACTGCCCACCCAAAGGCATGTTAATTGTTTTGCTGCACTGAGTGATAGCGCTGCCACTTTTCAAGGTGCGAGTCGCTCTCGCGCTTTCTGGATGGCTGAATCAGAGTCAGCTGCTTTGAGGTGTTTGCTCCATCGAGTCAGGGCCGGGAAGGGAGTGAGGAAACACTGAGGTCAGTTCAGATATACTGAGAGGAAATCTTTAAACTGTTGTGGCAACAAACTCCCCTCCTAAAAAAAAATCAGTGTGCAAAGAATCAATCAACAGGCTACCAAACTGCCTGTGTGTGTTTTAGAGGAATCATTTACAGGCAAAGTGAGGTAAATGCAATAATGCACAGCAGCGAGGAGAATATACTATTATATATAGGAAGGACTACTCCGTCTTTCTCATATATGATTTTTTGTTAAAATCTATATAAAAAAAATATATATATATAATGAAAGGAATAAGTCAAATTCAGCAACAATAATTTAAGGAACAAGGTACTCAGACATACAGTCTGCACGTTTACATGTCTGAAGTTCCAAGAAGTTTCAAGTTTACACTGAAGTCTGGCCATCATGCAGAGGTGTGCTTCTCAACTGGCTGTAATGCCACACTTCATGAAGATGAAAAACATCAACATTTCAGGAAAGACACGCGATAACGGATAACAAAAAGCTGAAGTAGTAACTTGAATCAAAAGAATTAAACAATAGCATTAAAAATACAGTAGAGTTCTAAGAAAAAATACAAATGTATTAACCCTTGTAAGCTGCTCGGGTCTGTGGGACCAGTTTTTACTTTTATTACAGCAAGGAAAATACAAGTTCCGATTTTTTCAAACAGACTCATTCCGATATTTTCTGCAAAGAACATAATTCGGAAAAAAAATTTGATGACCGCCACCACGTTACGGAGTGAAAGCTTCTTCAATCACCACGGAGGCTCAGATGTCTTTTGCTGAACATTTCTGGATAGGTGTTTTGTTGTTTGTTTGTTGTTTTTTTTTTACAAAAAATGGTGACAGCTGATAACGGCAACAGCTGTTCGTAACCTAGCAACCGACTTTGTTGCTAGGTTAAAATAAAAGACTTCCTCTATCCAAATAAATCATGCCTCACACTTAAATATGTTTCACTTCACCCTTTGTAGTTATATAGAATAATGTTAAATTCAGTTAATAATCATCATCATGTAAATTATACTTAACATATAACTATAAAGAAGTCACAACACCAAACAAACCTCCTACACATTTACATTACACTCAGGATGTCCAGGTAACAAACCCAGACCTGATAAAAATGTGCACCTTCATGCCTGTTTGTGTGTGGGGGTGTGTGTTTGTGAGAAGAGGGGAATGGGTTCGTGTGTGTGTTTATAGTGGATCATTATAACCATTTTCACCAATATGGGGAGGTCATTCATAGAAACAGAGAACATTTTTCCTGATCTTAATTTCTTTCAATTGTACTGAGCTCTACTAGTTAGGTTTGAGGTAAAGTATGAACAAAGTTTTTGGTAAAGGTTAGGGTTAGGAATATACTTGTATGGGGTTAGGAGGTTATGGAGAATGTCTGGGTTTGGCATAAATGCAGTTGCTACAATGAATGGAAGTCTGTGCAAAGTCCTTGGACTAAGAGGGGTGCAAGGATGTTTGTGTGAATTTTGTGTTACTGCAAAATAACATTAAAACACTGTTGCAACATGCAGCTGCCAGATGCTTCACTACAGACAAATGCCCATTCTTAGCCAACTTGGTGCCTGTATGCATGCAACTTGTGCTCTGCTTGGTTGAAATTTCAAATAAAGATACAGAAAAGATAAAAAAAAAAGGTTATCAAAAAACCTTACAGATTAATTTAAAGATAAGCATACATGTCCACTTATATTGAATCGAAATGTGGTCCTTTTTAAAATGCACGTTTTTGTCATACAGCAAACATGAGTGATATTTTTCTTAAAATGTTTTCTTTAAAATTTAAAACGCAGAAAACAGTCAAATTTGCTGTTTATATAGATGTAATTGAAGTGAACATGTTTTTGTATTTTTATGTAAAAAGCTTTCTTTGTGTTGAATTTGAACAGTAAAATTCAGCGGGTCCACCAGACCAACAAACAGTGGCTGTGCAACCAAAATATGAAAACCTTACAGGGATTAATGAGTGATGCATCAGTCGAAAAAACAAAAAGTTCTTTAATTATCTGATCATCCGCAAAATCTTAACCAGTTCATTTTAAAAAGAATCAGAAATGAACAAAATCACAATCAGCAAATTAAAGAGAAATACAGAAATCAATATTGGCCATTTAATTCCATGATTGGTGCATCTCTCTAATAATAAATGCTTTAAGTGAGACAATGTGCTAATTAGGTAACAGTTTGCTTACAGTGTTTGTGCTGCTGCCCAATTCCTTGAAATATATTTCTGTTTTATTTGTCTTTGGGCTTATATATTTTAAATAAACACATATTTTCCTATGGTAAAATTAAAGCCTTCAGAGATAAAAACGGAAAAATATTCACGAAAAACAGCAGCTTCTATTCACTACTAAATTATTTCATTTATTACAGTTACTAATGTCTTGTATTTTACATTATACAGCAAGAACAAAGTAAACTAAAATATAAATGTTATCTCTCTCACACACAAATGCACCTGAACAAAACACAAATTTAACAAAATAAATCACCCAATTTCAATAGTTTTATTTAATGTATAACGTATAAGACCATCTTTATTTCAATTACACAGATTAATAAGCCGTTTGCTATTAGGAATAAAAAAATATTTATTACAATGAAACAGTCCAAACAAATACTGTGACGGTAAATGACGTTCCTGCTCAAATTGAGTGCTTAACACAATACACAAAGAATGTTGCAAAGAAAATCTCTAAAATAATGTTCTTGCTAAGTTTTCTGGCATTTGGCAATAGAAATAATTTTGATGAATCTAACCTAAATTAAGAGATGTTTGGTCTGATTTAACCTCAGAAAGTAAGGGAAATTCCTGAGGTTGTATGGAAATCTGGCTTAAACTGTAAATAATGTTTTCCAAATTTAAGCTTTCATCAAATGTTGGATTGCACTTTATTACAAAACTATGCCGTTTGAATGTCAAGTACTTAGAAGGATTTTATATAGAAATCATGCACTTCCCAAAATTTAAAAAACAATTGAAATCCAAGCACCTTCAAGAATTTCAAGAACCAGTCGTATGAACTCTGAAAATAAAACCAAAAACTCAATTGGAAGATTTACCCAGATGGTATCAATTTGCAGAGATCACATTTCTGGAAACAGTTTTTATAGTAAAAAGTAGCTCAACAGAGAAAAGAAAAACCTGCAAGAATTAATAATAAAGACGTTTGGAAGAAAAATTGCATTTACTAAAAACAGGCAGCTGACACAGGGAGATTTCCCTCCTTGTTTGACTCTAGACCCGCTGGATTTGTTGACGACTAGAAAGGTGGGAAGGTAGTTTGGAGCTGCCTCCTTGAGATCAGGTATGTAAGCTCCCCTCTGAGATAAGCAGGAATGTGGCAGTCAGGGGTGAAATGTGACATTAGGGCAGCAGGTAACCCACCGAGCAGAGCGGGGAGGGGGTTGGGAATGCGGAAGCTCAAATACTGGACGGGTTACTGGACCAACCATGAGACGGCGAGTTCAGAAAGAGGACGCAACTGAGAGACAGCGGAAGAATAAAAGAGAACAAATGTGCAGAACACACACTAAAGCTGCTTATCAGGCAGTCAGTCAGGTAGCGCAGGCTCTCTGCTCCCACACAGAATTGGAGAACCGTGTGGAGCCGGGCCGCCTCACATCCACCGCCTAATCCCCTGCAATCACCCAACTCTGCCTTCCCCGAACAGTCGCCTCCAGAGCTCCCAGCGACATAAATACGCTGGATGTGACAGAACCTGAACGCCACAGCCGCTCCAATCATGACGGAGTTAACATGGCCTCCTGAGCCAAACTCGTGTTTATACGCGGCTCTGTTCTGAGGCGTCGGCACGCCCAGCACAAACACACCGCTCGGTTTTTAGCAGTTCTCCCTATTAATAGGACAAGTGCCAATAATAACCGCGTCTAGTAAGTTGAACTGAATAAAAGTGGCTGCCCCCAGTAACAGAGAGGTCTGTGGTGTTATGAATAACCTGCCAGGGTTATTCTGGGGTAGCAGACAGGCCGACTTAAACCGTGAAAATACACACAGGCCACTCGTCTGGACAGCAAAAATAGCACAATATTTACAACAAAAGATAACAGCTAGTATTTTAGTCGTTTTGTTGCTAATTTGAAGGTGAGACAGCTGTAAAGGGACTATTTCGTAGAAAGCTAAATTTAAATGATACACACCTATTTTTAAACGTTCCATGTGCTTTTTTTTTGTCTGATACTTTCTGTTTGTGCTACTGTTTTATAAAAAGTGTATGCAAAAAACTGAAGCTTGAATAATTATAAAAAGAAAACTTACACAGCCATTTTTAAGTTTTTTGTGTTTTTAGGTAACTGCTGTCAAAATATTTTCAGAACAGCCGTGTCTTTCGAGTGGATCCACTTTGCATTTTTAAGTTCTG